TCCCGAACCCTTGGTTGCGGGATCTGGGGAAGTAAGGAGTTCGACGACCGCCCTGAAATCTGGAAGAATTGGTGTTGTTCCTGCCCCTAAAGGAATTACCATAAGAATTTCCATAACCCCTACGGAACCCAGAAGAAGGTAAGCTCCATCTCTGGCCTGCCCCTAAAGGAATTACCATAAGAATTTCCATAACCCCTACGGAACCCAGAAGAAGGTAAGCTCCATCTCTGGCGTTGCTGGGGGTAGGGCTGCCAAGCATATCCAAATTTTCCTGCGGCTTGTCTCACGTCTTGTTTTGTTTAAGCCTGTCATCCGTCTGCGGATTGAAAAGGCCGTCCTCGTGGAAGGGGAGGTCCTCTGCAAGGGCCTTCCCTTCCTCAGACAAGTTAGACGCACGCAACCACGCGTGCCTTCTCAATGAGGTTGCAGTGGAGTACAAGTTACCCGCAGCCTCGGCCATATGCTTGGCTGCGTCCTTTTGCATTTTTGACAACACAAGCGCCTCCCCATGTATGGCTCTAGGAAAGCGCTGCTGGTCGGCCGGTAGCAGCTCGATGTATTCCAACATCTTTCCCCACAGGAAAGTTTGATAACCACTAGCGTAGGTGGCATAGTGTGCCATCCGGGTGAACAACCCAGCCGAGAGGTGTGCCTTCCTCCCTAGAGTGTCAATTTTCTTACCCTCCCTGTCAGGGGGAACGGTAAGTGAATTTTTAGGCCTCTTGGTCTTTGCCACCTCGGCGACCACCGTGTTCGGTCTGGGAGGGGCCGAGACCCATTTGGCCGACGACACATCAATTCTATATAGCAAGTCTAGTCGTCGGGGAATTGCCGGGACCAGGGAACGGGGACATGTCGGAGACCCTTGCCAATTTTAGGAGGTAAGGGAGTACAGGCAGAGGGGATGCAGGGGTTATGACCTGCTCCTCCGAAGGAAACATGGGGTCCTCCACGTGCTCGGGAGGCTTGGGGGCGGGAATGTTTAAGGCCTTGATCATTCTATCAATGAGTGCAGCAAACCTATTAACATCCGCAGGGTGAATAAAAGAAGCATTTTCCCCCTCCCCATGGTTAGCAGTGCCAGCCGGGTCCTGATCAGAGTCAGAACCGTCTAGATCAGCCGCTCTTTGGACAGAGCTCTCGGGCAACAAAGCCCCGGACGGTCTCATAGGGGTAGAATCACCTTGCAGGTTGCCCTGAGAGGCGGTCAGGGTGATGGCGGCATTGCCAGACAAGTCGCTTTGGGTGCAAGCAGGTAAGGCCAATGCAGAATGAGAAGATGTTGCCCCATAGGGTGCACCAGGTAAGTTCATGTCATTAGAGTTCAGTACAAAGGAAGCTCCACACGGAGGGGCCCTCCCGGGATCAAGCTGAGAAGAGGTGGAAGGCTGGTCACTAGGCACTGGAGGGCAAACAGCTGGTGGAGGTGGCGCCCTGGGCATCGTCGCTGCCGGGAGCGTTGGGATGGGCAAGACAGGAGGAGGGGCCTGCACAAACACCATCTGGCCTGACGGGCCCATCTGCCAAAAACCCTGGCAGGGAGGCAGGGCCACGGAGGAGCGGTGCCAGCGGGAGCGCCTGGAGGCTCGGGACCGCCTGCTCCGTCTGGAGTAGGCCGATGAAGAGGAGGAGGACGAGGAGGAAGAAGTTGAGGAGGAACGGGATCGCCTGGAGGCCGATCGACGTCGGCGCCGGCGCGACCTTGTACTCCTCCTGGATGGGGACCTCGATCGCCTGGGCCTCGCACTGTGGCGGCGCGAAGGGGGTTGCTGCCAAGGTTGGACGGCATCGCCGATACCGGCACATCAGGAGCCCCTTCTGTTTCGGGGCCCTCCCCTCCTGGGGCGCCCTCGGCTGTTGGCTGGGCGCGACGAGGAGTCCCTTCAGCCGCCTCCCCCGAGCCCGAGGGAGGCGGGGTCGCGAGGGCTCCATCCTGGAGAAGAATCGGCAGCGGGGACAGAAGGATGGGCGCCGCAGCAGTCGCCGCTGACATCGGCGGCATTGCGGAATCTCGGGCCCAGCTCAGTGGCGGAGGCGAGAGCATCGGCGACACCGCAGTAGGAGGAGTCAGGGCGGCCGGCGTGATAGCGGGCGCATGTGCAGGCAGTGGGGTCGACGTCGAGAGCGTCGCCCGAGGTGTCTCGGCTGCCTGCAGAGGGCGCACCGCACCAGATTGAGTCACAGGAGCCGGCAAAGGCGCTATGGCGCGGCGGGCCTCCAGCGGTCTTCCCGCTCTTTCCTCCAAAGTTTTTTCCTGTGTGGGTGCCTGGCCGCCATCTTGAGGCCCTTTAGATTTAGGCCTTTTGGCCTTCTTCTTGGCCGGCCCGGAGGAGGAGGGCAAGAAAGGTAAGTCCGGCCGCTCCGCGGTTTGCGCTGGGGCGGAGGGAGGCATGAGGGCCCTCTCATAGAGTACTGCCCGAAGCCTAGACACTCTATTCTTCCTCGTTTGAGGGGTAAAGGAGAGGCATATGGCACAAGATTGGGTGAGGTGGGCCTCCCCCAAGCAAGTGAGGCATAGCGTGTGCCCATCTGTGTCCGGCAGGATATTCGGGCACTTCGTGCACTTTTTAAAAGAAGTAGTAGCCATAGCGGAAAGCTACTGCAGAGATCTCAATTCCGATCTGGGTCGAGTACCTTACAGTCAGTCCAATCCAACGTCAAGCAAGAGGGCTAAGCAGAAGAATCATCAAAAAGCAGTCCAAATTCCAAAGTCAGAAGTAGATAGAGAATCGCAGTGTCACAGAAGGTTCTCAAAGCTGTCACAAGCGGATTAAGAGAACTGACGGCTAGTCCCGCCCTCGGGCTATATATACTCGGGAGGAGGGGGGCGGGCCTAGTTAAGGGCTGAAAGTTTCTTTTTCTTTCTAGAAGGTTCCGAAAAGTTGTATTGCGCAAGCGCAGGGATACCAAATGTACGATTCACAGTGACTACGACAGGAAATTCACATTATCTGCTTGGAACTGGATTATATGAGTCTACACTGCCAGATAAGCCAGTTCAAAGCAGATAATCTGGGATCAGATCCTGGTATATAAACCTGTGTAGATCCAGCCTCTATGAGGTATTCATTGAAAAACTATAGCAATATATGGAGCAGGATGTACCACAAAAACAAAATTTTGCAGTTTAATAAACTTTCCTATGTTTTTATCATAGAACTAATTAGGAAATGACATTTAAAATCCAGGATCAAAAATTGTGTTACATAGTGTAATCTATGTGTTATTTTAAGAAATGGACACTAAGATGACCACAGCAGTCCCAACTCCGTATCCTGCTCTGAAGCCAGTTTGAAGTGGGTTAAAAGGCTGACATGTTGTAAAAGTTCCTAAAATACTAAAACTTCATATATTGGGTCGTTGTAGGTTTTTTCAGTCTATATGGCCTTATTCTAGAGGCATTTTCTCCTAACGTTTCACCTGCATCTATGGCAAGCATCCCCAGAGTGAGGTCTGTTGGAACTAGGAAAATTGGGTTTATATATCTGTGGAATGACCAGGGTGGGACAAAGAACTCTTGTCTGTTGGAGCTAGGTGTGAATGTTTCAACTGACCATATATTATACACATGAAGGAGGTCCATTTATTGAAAGGGGCAGCAAGGTTATGCCACTAAACCACAGCAATGCCACATGTCTTCCCTTACACCCCCTCTCCATCCCACCTTTCAACATGTCCAGTATAGTTATTATGGTGGGGAAGCTTTGGTTCATTGGCCTCTATACACCTGAGTTTCCAGGGAGAGGAGGTTCTAGAAGTCTAGAAGAGAAACATAGGTGTTATGTTTCTCTTGTCAGATGTCTATGTCCAATGTGTAGACATCGTAGATGAGGAAGCTATAAATCTTCAAGGCAATGCCATTGTTTCCTCATAATCACATGGATGAAATGAATGTAGGAGATGGAAGAAGTGGCTGCATCAAGACAGTAACATAGGAGAATCCCAAGTGTGTACTGAGAGTGGAACACAGAATACCATGTTAGATTATAGAACACCTCCTCTATTTTAAAGCTATTAGCTGTTAACAATTGCACAGCCTGCACAGTTCTCAGAAGCAGACAGGAAAGAACCTAATAAACACTCTAGTTCTGTACTATAGGATTCAGAAACATTGAGACAGCATATCAAGTACTTATTACTTGCATTTGTTCTTCACTTTTTAATAATTACTAAATCATCAGCTTTTTACAAAAAGAAATTACATTGATCTATAACCTTTGAAATCATAGGCCCTTACTTTAATTTTGCTTAAGCCCAATGGGGAATTTTCCTTAAGCAAGTATTGACTTCTGAGTATCTTTCGGTAGAATGGTTACAAACATTGCAGCAGATCAATGAAGCGGAAAGTAGGTTTTGCAATATTCCCTAATGAACCAAACATGCCTTTCTATGTAAGCTGTAAATTGGCAAGCAGAACATTTCATCATTAAACAGGGCACAATAAAGAAAACTAAGTTGTAAGGGTAGACTTACTTTACTTGTCCTCTTAGGAAGTCTGGGTTTCCCATGTTAGGGAGTAGATACACAACTCGAAAAAACCCTTTTTATAAAATGACAACTCCAAGAATCCCCATCCAGCATGGCTGGGAGACTGTGGGAGTAATAGTCCAGAAAGTAACTTTTCCAAACTCTGGCTAGAGGTGATTTATTTAGCTAGCACAGCAATAATATTCACAATTGGGTTGTTGTAGGTTTTTCAGGTTGTATGGCCATGTTCTAGAAGCATTCTCTCCTGACATTTCACCTGCATCTATGTCAGGCATCCTCAGTGGATGCCTGCCATAGATGCAGACAAAACGTCAAGAAAATATGCTTCTAGAACATGGCCATACAGCCTGATAAACCTACAACAACCCAGTGATTCCGGCCATGAAAGCCTTCGACAATATATTCACAATTATTCAATCACATCTGTATGTTCGTATGAACTCCCAAATGCTCAATCTCTATTTTTTTTACTTATTTCTTACATATTTCTTGCAAACTTATTGACTGCTTACTTCACCACAATGTTTCCCAAAGTCTTTGCTTTTACAATTTGCTTGTTGTCATCCAGAATCATCACTGCAATAAAAGGACATAACAAGAAGTCACAAAAATAAGTGCAGCCCCACTAGATCTAATTAGACCATTCCCAAAAAATATAACCTTGAACTTAACACACATGTGAAAAGAAATTATAGATACTTGCATTGCCCGTCTGGATTTCAAATTGCAGAAACAGAAGAAAGTTGAACAAAGTTGTAATATAAAGCTGTCGTGTATGTGTGTGTGTGTGTGTGTGTGTGTGTGTGTGTGTGTCTGTCTGTCTGTCTGTCTGTCTGTCTGTCTGTCTGTCTGTCTGTCTGTCTGTCTGTCTGTCTGTCTATCTATCTATCTATCTATCTATCTATCGAAAGTAAAATGATATAGATACTACAGCCTAAAGGGATTTTTCAGTGTTCATGTAAGATGCAAAATGAAAATGAATACCAACAAATACAAATAGCTAAACAGCAGCTGAGATATTTTAAGCATCACTTAGCTTTTATAAAGCAACAGTGTACAATGCCAGATTTTCATTGGTTTCAGCTGTTTTAAAAAGCTTTGTACAACCCAAAGGAGCTGCTGTACTTGCTATTTTACTACACCTTCAATCGTTGTACACTACTCTTGTTTTCTTTGTAGCAGACAGAAAGGGGTCCAGCTCCTCATTTTGGGAGGAGATTGTGGGAGAGAAGCAGCTACCTCAGAACTAACACTGGCTATGAAACATCAATCCAGGGGAGGTTGGTATGGTTATCATCTGATTCCAGCTGATTACATAACAGAATTGTATGCTTTACCTGGCATTGTTATTGCTGCTGTTGCTACTGTGTGCCTTGAAGTCCTTTCCAACTCATGGTGCCCCTAAGGTGAACCTATCATGAGGTTTTCTGAAGGAAAAGTATATCACTTGCCCAAAGTCACTTAGTGGGTTTTTATGGTTGAACAGGGATTCAAACCCTATTTTCCAGAGTCATAGTCCAACATTCAAACCACTACGACATGCTTGTCTTGCATTGCTCCTAAAACAATCAAGCGCCATTTGGTAGAGCTCGACATGCTGAGCAGAGAGACCCTTCAAGGCTCAGTTTACACATTGTTGAAGCATGACAAGATGGATGGATGGTATCCTTGAAGCAACTGGCTTGACCTTGAAGGAGCTGAGAGTGGTGACGGCCGACAGGGAGCTCTGGCGTGGGCTGGTCCATGAGGTCACGAAGAGTCGGAAGCGACTGAACGAATGAACAACAACAACGAAGCATGACATGAGCATCACTTGCTCCTATGAGTCTCCTGCTTCAGCTCCCCATACACCTATCTACAGTGCTAACTGTATCCTGAATTACTGCTTGATTAATAGGCCTTATCTTATCTGAAATTTCTTTGCTCAATGCAGCTTTGCCTTAGAAAAACCAGAACTGAAACCTCAACACTTCTCAAACTTCTGGTGAAGCAGAACCAGCATACTGCTTTAGCCGCCCCCTGCCCCTCAATGGAATATCACCTCATCATGATGAGGCGGTTGTGTGTTCCAATGAACCTGCAGTTGTAGCCATAGTCATGTGCTCCCAGGCGGCAAGGTCACAGGGGAGGAACCAGATCAAGGACAATCTAAACTCCTCAAGGCAGAGCGGGCAGATGATGGCATGATACATGTTACAATGGCTGTGAAGGCAGAAGAAAGCTGCAATAAATGAGGGGCCACCAGTTGTAAGGTTAACTATGCCACTGGGTCTGAACCTCTTTCTGTGTAGACTGTGTATCAGCAGTGCACTGATCTCCACACATAAAAGAAATTCACGCACAGGCATCGGCCAAGAACCATTTTGCTAACTCCATATGGGGAGAGGGCTAGAAAAGATGCCTAAACATAGTCCCAGTCTCTTATCCTTTACTAATTTGCTGCATCTAGAAGGGTCATCACCTTGCGGTCAAAAAAGACAAATGAATTTTGGAATATACAGACACTGTTGGATAACACAGATAATGAATGTCCTGAACGCAGGACTGCTATTATTGCAAGGGTGCTGAGGTGCTTTAAAATTGTTGTAGCAGCACGCCAAGAGACCATGGGAGCAGGAGAGGGACAGCTGAAGGAAGAAAAAGGAGGCTACACCATTTTTTGCAAAGGAGTGCCTGAACAGGAACGAAGAATACATGGAATTGTCTTTGCTATCAGAAACAACCTGGTGAAACATCTGTCTGAAACACCTATAAACATGACTTTCAACCCTTCAAATTAATCTTGCCAAAAACCAGCAGAGAACTACCATAAGTGACTATGCACCAACACTAAGTGCTAACAAAGAGACCAAGGAAAAAATTATGTCAGCTGGAAACCATCCTATCAGAAATACCTAAGGAAGACTCCCCTGGGTGATTTTAATGCAAGAGTTAGACAAGATTTCGACAGGATTTTGACCCGTGGTCAGGGAATATAGGGAAAGATGGGGTCAGAAACAGTAAGTGAATGGCATCCTACTTCTAACCAATGTGCAGAACACAAGTTTGTCACCACCAGAGAGAAAGACTGTAACTATTCTTCCCAAACACTTTCCCCACAGCACAGGGCTCTTTCAGACATAACAATTTCAGGTTAATAAAACTACAGTTTATCAAAATGAGAAGTAGCACAGAACCCACACACTATCCCCTATGTTCACCTCTTTCCACCTTATACTGCTTTGGAGCTTTGATCATGGTTAGTTTAAATGAGAGCTTCTCATTCATCCGTTCAAATGTAACCAGACACAACAAAGGCAGAAGTGAAAGCAAGGCATAGACAAACCTAACAAGTAGTCATGTCCAAAGTGGTTTGGGTGTTGGACTGACTCCAAGAGACCAGGTTTGAATCCCCACTCAGCTATGAAAAATCACTGGATGAACTTGAGCAAGCCACATACTCTCAGTCTCAAAGGAGAGCAACTGCAAGTGCTCACTGAACAAATGTTGCCAAGAAAACCTCATAACATATTCACCCTTGGGACACTATTAAGTAAGAAATGACTTGAAAGCACTCAACAAATGTCTAAACTGACTCTGCTCTGTATTTATTGTCTTGGTTTTGAAAATAGATGTGTTGTTGTTGTTATTGTTGTTGTTATTGTATATATATCCCACTTTGTCTTTCCGTAAGTGGTTAACATTAAAATCATTACAATACAGTTTAAAATGTACAAACATACAAATATTTAAATTGTATTAAACATAATTAGCATTAAAAACAATTCAGATTAAATCCATAAAAACATAGATTTTCCTTCCAAAGATTATTTTTAATCAAAGCACTCAATTCTGTTTTCCAAATAACAGAATATTTCTCATTTAAGTCAAGTAGCCTTAAGATGACCCTAATATCTAATCCCTAGTATTCTTAGTTAAACCTTATCTCTAAATTATGTAAATATTACAGTATTCTTAATCTTACAACTGCACACGTTCAGTTCTGCGTTCAGATGTCTTCCATACCAGAGGCAGCTACTGCCTTTCATGCTAGTTCAAAGCCTACATTTCCTACAGCTAAAATAAAAATGTTGAATGTTAGAAGATAATGTGCTTAACATTCCTTTCAAACATCAGCTTCTGCAGAAAACAGCCTTTCTGATATAAGGAGATAGCAGATAAGTTTAACTGAAATATGATTGTTCATTCACTGATCACAATGGACATTCAGCATCATCTTTATAAGCTATAAATACACAAATGCTATTTAATGTATAAAGATTCCAAGTGAGGAAATTGAAATATGCATAGTTTTTCAGCGCTTATATCATAGGTTTTAGAAAATACATGTAGCTCTTGATACAGACAAATGCTCCTTGATATTGAGACTCCTTGTATTTGTTTGTGCAGGCAATCCCCATAAACACAAGATGTCTAATGCAGCACAGGTCTGCACATTCATCTCCATTATGTGCAAGAGTTACTTTGACTTAGCCAATGGAGAGAAAATTCATGACAACTGTTTTTTGCACACAGAAAGATACTGATGAAATTTTAGGGTTATGTAACACACATAGTTCAATTTTTCCTGGTCTACAGGCAGATTCAGTCTGTCTCCTATGAAAGTTAATAAACAAGATACAGTAGATGTGTAGCTTGTTCTTTTCTCTCCTGCACCCAGACAATTGATTAAATTTCTTTGACTTCTATGCACACAGAACAAACAGTTCAGTGTGGAGACCTGCATGGCAGAAACAAAGAGTGGGGGACCATGAAATCTTCTGTGTTACAGATGGTAACAGGCACATGACAACACCATTGATGTCACTGAGTTATCACTTTAAATGCTAGTGGTCCTGTCTCTTCTCCATGCAGGAGGGTGTCTGCAGAAGCAGCTGAGTCCCAAGTCTCAGCTATCCTAAAGCTCAGTTGGCAACCACAAACATCATCAGAGAGCAGAATGGAAGGGAATCTCCCACTGTTTCCTCCAATCCTCTCTCTCACCTCCTCCAAAGGCAAGACTGATTCTACACCAATAAAAGTTACCACTCCTGCTATGAAATTCTAATGTGCTATGTATAGCACAACTTCAATCTGTGCTACATTATGTTGTGCCTGCTGGAAGTAAATATGTTATTGCACCTTTAGTGACGTATATGAAAAATTGATAATCCTGCAACGTTTATCCTATCATCTAATGAAGTTGTTGGAGAACAGAAACAATGAACCAACCATGTCTTGATCACCAGTTGTTAAATATAGCAAGATTTTCATTTTAAATACACTCTTCTTATTTCGCCTTGTGATAAACCCAGATCTAAAAGAGGATAGGCTTGTACTGTATCTTAGTAACATGTACTGAATAACTTTACCATTGTATCCTGGCACCGGTTTTCCTGCCTGTCCTGGGGGAGGTGTTAAAGAGTTTCCCAAGCCAATGCAGGAAGCTGTTATTGAAGATCCTGTTTCTATAAGACAAGAGGAGAGAGAGTTTTATGAGATCTCTACAGTTATTTTCTTCAACGCAAGCAGCTTAGAGACTACAGAAAAGTTCTTTTGATACATAACATAAGACATTAGGTTTTCTTTAGATCCTTTCAATATACGGATCCAAAAACTGGCTCTACAGAAATCTATCCTAGCATTGAGATCTAATAATCTTTTCCAAAACTAAAATCTAACACTGCAACAGTTTTTATCTGTAAAACTAAAACAGGGAGAAAATAGCATGTTGTTTAAAATAAGACAACAGGCATCCCTCCAATGACAACTATATTTTAAGAAATGTCTAACTGAACCTGACCTACCAATCTAAAGGATCTAAAGAAAACGCAATTGGGCAGTCATGTCAGATTGCATCTCAACCAGCCATCACAGCCAGGAAAGTGCATCAAATCATAGTACCAATTCTATCTAATTACTAAAGACAACTTCAAAGAAATTATTCACTTCAATATCAGCCTACTCTGTTCAAAGTAAATGAACTGCTAATAACTTAAACACAGTATTAGTTACCATCAAAGAAACAGCTACACTAATCAGTTATTATTACAGAAAGGTATATTGTAGCATCAGATGCACTATACTAAGCAACACTTACAGGTAATTTTTTTGTGTCAGAAGCGACTTGAGAAACCGCAAGTCACTTCTGGTGTGAGAAATTGGTTGTCAGCAAGGACGTTGCCCAGGGGATGCCTAGATGTTTTTACCATTCTGTGGGAGACTTCTCTCATGTTCCTGTATGGGATGCTGGAGCTGACAGACAGAAGCTCAATCTGTCTCACAGATTTGAACTGCCAACCTTCAGGTCAGCAGTTCAGCTGGCACAAGGGTTTAACCAATTGCAACACTGCAGCTCCTCAGGTAACTGTATACAAGTTTGCCAAAGAAAGTAAAGATCAAAGCTACTTCTAAAATGATGTGTCCCAACCCCAAAAGGGGTCCCGTAAGAGAAAATAGGGGTTTGGAAAAAATCAGCAACACTAAAAGTTTCTGAACACCATAGACATTTTCACAAATCCATCAGCAACAAGTGGACTCTGAAAAGGCTTCAGCTGTAGTTCATAAAAAGAAAATTAGTTTGTTTAGTAAGCCTTGCAAATGCTGATTTATTATCAATATTTGATTTATATATCTATTTTATATACCTATATACCTGGGGTCACATAGAAATTTCTCAGGCAGAAAGGAGTCACAAGTAGAAAAAGTTTAAGAAGCCTAGTTCTAGATGGCTACTGCATTATGGAGCATATTCATGGGGGAAATTGCCCTTAAATTTCATTTCTAAAGTTACAAGGGGTATTTTCAAAAAGACTCTTTATGTTTGCTTAAAAAAGCTTTGAGAAGGATTGAAGCTACTGTTCAAAGTGAAGTGTGAATAATGGATTTTAAGGCTGCAAAGTGCACAGATTAAAATCTACAATTTTCTCAGGGCCAGATTGCAAAAACAGGTCAAAATACTGCCATTGAAACGCAAGCTGAAAATCAGCTAGTCTATAATTTGTATTATCCATTAAAATGTTGTAAATTAGGGGGCAGGGATATTTTTCCTCCTAACCACTACTGAATTAATCCAAAGTAATAAAAATGGCCACTTATGCAATTGTAAAAAAAAGACACCAAAAGTTGAGAATTTCCACACATCCATATTAATTTAGAGACATATCTCAAGTTTTGAGGTCATATTTACAGTTCTTTCTGAATATTGTTCTGTTTTCTTGTTTCCACAGAAAATGAGAAGTAAAAACCTTGAATATGCGCCAAGGACAAGCTGAGAATCAAAAACCAAATCCTTCCTTTAGGCAATCTATACTAGAGGCTACTTCAAGGAGCAGCTGTAATACTTGAGAAGCTGCCCAAGGGGTAACCAACTCAAACGAGAAAGATAAGAGCAGTCGAATCTGCTAATGCCACAGCTTAAAGAGATTAAGTGGGAAAGGGCTATGCTAAGAAAATTTGGGAGAGCCCTGAAAAGGACACTTGAAATGATGAAAAGAGGAATGAATGGCACAAAAACATGAGAAGGGATGGAGAGGTAAGAATAAAAGATGAAAAGGAATTAAAATCTACAAGCAAGGGAAATGCAAGCTTACATTGAGAAATTTAATACCGTATTTACTCGATTCTAATGCTCACTTTTTCTTACTAAATTGTCTTCCCAAAATTAGGGTGCATATTAGGTACTTTTTGGGTTTCAGAGTTTTGAAAACTGAGCTACACATTAGATTCAATGGTGCATTAGACTCGAGTAAATACGGGCATATGCATGTCTCCTCATACAGCAAACAGAAGTTTGCTGTACAGCTATGGGGTTGCACGAGAAGGGTGCGGCGTAAGGGATTACTTCCCACAGCAGGAAGGGATACTCTTCCAATTTAATCTGACCTAAAATAGAAAAAGTTGTGTGTTTTGTTTGAAACATGCATAGCATATTATTTTCAAAATTCCTTTAAAAATGAATTTCACTGTTAAAATGCTCCAGGTGGATGCTGAGAGGGGAAACAGGATGAACATTTTAGTTAAGATGTTTGATAAAAGCAATCTGTGTCAATGAAGCAGAACTGAAGGTTGGGTTACACAAGATGCAAGGATAATATGTAGGCTGAAAAACATACCATTATTCCATTCCAGAAGATGATAATGGATGAAACCATCCCTAATAAATTTCTTAACAGCATGAAACTGGAGGGAAAAAAACAGCAGCAGCCTCCATCAAACCATGCAACAATTGAACACACCGCAAACAAGGAGATGGATTTTCCATTAGATGTACTCATAAACTATTCAGCTTTCCAGTTTTTTATTTTTAAAATAACTACATAAGTGGATCTAGTTACATCTCAAGCAAACATGATACTGCAGTTATACCTAGTGAATTTGTTTTCTTCAAGAGGCAACTAAAAAATGGAAAGTCAGTTTTCTGATATATCGAAAGACAGGGTCCAAAAGCCAACTCCCACCTGCCCACTTTATATATGGGGAACAGAACAAGAGATGCTGGAATTATTAAAGACAGGAAAAGGAATTGGGAGTAATTCTGTTGATTACACTGAATTTTCAGGGAGAAAAATATTTAGCACTAGGAATATTCTTGGACGTATTGTGACCACCTCCACAACTATTGCCATTCCCAACTGTGCCTAAGCCATGTGTACTTATAAGAAAATAGGGGAAATCATGCACGCTATGGGACAGTACAATACTCCTATTTCTGACAGCACCTTCAGTCTTGCCACCCTGTTTTTTCTGGCTTGGGCCATGAAAGCTTGGAAATGGCACCAGGAGCCAATCACAAGGCTTTCTCCAAGGCAGAGCAGGCACTTTGCGTGCCTCTCAGAGTCAGGGATCTTCTACATACACTGGGTGCAATGCTTGAAATGAGTCACTGACATCTCTACGAAGTTCCGAAGAGAGCTGCATGGTGGGAAAAAAGGAACTGGGGAGTGCGGAGCCAGTGCACCTTGTATGCCCTGGGAGGAGTGAGGAGGGTTACAACCAAAATTTGAAAGATGACAGGTTGGAAAGCTTTCCGTTGGAGCTTGCGCAGGCACAGTTAATCCATATGTGTGTATTCACAGATACCATGAAGAAAAAAATGTTTTGCCTAATGCATATCTTTTATAATTTCCAAACTAGGCAGACAAGTTAGCTCACCAGTGTTGGGTCAACAAAGCAGGGCTCAATATAAGCTATAACTGCTTCATTATCTGTTACAAAGTGGTAACCCTTACACTCCAAAGGATGCGATTCATTTTCTTTCCTTTGTGTTTTTTTATGTATAAAAAACATACTGAAGGAGAGGCAAGAGTGAGAAAAATAAGAATAAACGTGCAGGTAATAAACAAGACTACAGTAGTGAGAAACCAAAAAAAATTAAAAGATGACAAAATATCCAAGTAAGTGTCCATGGAGAGTTGACATACAGTCAAAAGTTGAGAGGATTAAGAGATTCTTGATTCTCTGAAAAACAGAGTGCGAATTTGTCTTTCTAGTCTTGTAATGTAAGTCTTTTAGTCAGTGAAGGGTCATAGAACCCATTTCCATTTATCAAAGTTAATTTCCAATTTGAGGACAACTAGCTTAAATCTGTGAAATTTAAATACTGCTCCAAAACAAAATTAATTCAATTAATGACCTTTCTCCAAAAGAAAATCTATAGCCAAGTCATGTATGTGTGGCTCCTGAGAATTAGAATGCAAGCAGCCAGATGATGTACTCAGACCTTTACTAAATAAAGATTGTGCAGTCCAATATAAGCAAAATCATTTTTACTGTAATGGAAGTTGAAAATCCATAGAAAATAGTCTGTATGGGAACCAAAGTTGGTTAAGCGAAAACACTTTTTGTTCCTATAACTCAAAATGGCATATCTAATTTGCTGACTGACAATAAATGTTTATAAAGAGATATTGACGGTTTCTACTTTTTTTGGCATGGATTCATCCGAAAACGGAAGAGGGAAAAGAAGAACATAAAGCTGCCCAGACATGCCTAGATTCCAATATACGTTGTAATGGAATATACTGCTATTTTGCACAAAATTTAAAACAAAGTAATGAAATATTTTCAGTATATATGAAAAGGAATGCTTCCTAAAATATGTACTATCCAAGGTTAGGTCTTGCCTACCTGAGAATATCTCTGTGAAATTTAACTTTGCCAATAGCAGGACTAGGGACAGCTGTCATCTTCCTTTCATGAAAAGTGAAATCTACCTTGACTCCAAAAATATTGCTAAGAGTAGATATATTGATGGAACAGCTATCATTATTGGCATAATACCTCATGGACTTCAGCCAATTTTGTTACATGGACAGCTTGACAGAAACAGGAGAAGCGGACAACAAAGAAAACGACACTCATCCCTCCACATCCATGGGTTCTGCGTTCACATATTCAACCAACCTTGGCTGAAAAATATTTAGGGGGTAGGGATTAAAAGCACCATAGTATTTACATAATATGCTGA